GTGTGTGGTACCTCGTGCCCGCGGCAGACGCTCTCCCGCTCCAGGCGGACCCGGGGCCGCGTGGGTCTCAGGCCGCTCCACTCCTGCACCACCTCGGCCTCCTGAAAGCAGAAGAGCCTCAGGCCCTGGTTGGCACCCACACGGGGGCTGTGCCAGCCTGGGGGAGGCCGCAGGGGGGGTCACGGCCCATGCACACCCCCACCAGCACCCACCTGCAGGGCCGGGAGCAGCCTGCAGCAGCTCTCCCAGATGGTGCTGTGATCCTGGGCGCTGTTTTCTTCGTCCCAGTTGCCGTGCTGATTGAGCCCTCCCAAGATGGTGAACTGGCTCCTGTGCCAAAAGCCAGAGGGGGCAGGTGGTGGTGAGAGCTCCATGGCAGCCCTGGTGGGGCCGTGATGCCAGGGCAGGCTGTGTGCCCTGCTGGAGTCCTGCTGGAGGAACTCCTACGCCACGCAGGCGAGAGAGAGGTGCTGCCTCTTGAGCCAGGCATTAATTAAATGTTATCAGCTATGAAAGGCCCTCAATAATTAGCAAAGCCATGATTTAATCTTTTATCCAACAGCTCTGCCCCTGCCTGGCTCGGGAGGGGTTGGAAGGAACGGGATGCCCATGGTGGGGAATGCAAAGGAACAGGTTGCTGCTGCTGTCACCCCAAAACTCCAGCGTGGTGACAGAGGCTGGGGGGGTTCAAACCTCACCTGAGCCCTGGGAAGCACAAAGACAAGTGGGCTGAGTGTGTGTGGGGGAGCCCCAGCACTGAGCTCGAGGTGTCCCCCCGTGCAGAAGAGCTGGACCCAGCTGCTCCCTCTGGGAACCAGCCCCGTGCTCAGCTCCACCAGCTGGGGCTAAAACAAACACCACCAGAGGAATTCGTGTGTCGCTGGGACTGTGACCAGAAATCGCTTGGAATACTTCCCCCGGGGGCTGTGAGCAGTCAAAGCTCCTATTTACACCACGGCTTAGTGCCTCACCCTGAAATAGGAGCACAGGAGGAAGCACCAGCAAGGCAGCACTGGAGCTACAGCTGCAAAGCCCCTCTGCCCTGCCCAGAGGGGTGGGTGGCTGCTCCCCGAGGAAACAGAGGTGGGGTGAGCAGCAGACAGGGATTTATTCACTCCCTGGGGACCTGCCATCTCAGATCCCAGCTCCCTGAGAGAGGTGCTGGTGGGAAGTGCAGGATATGTGCTGGAACCTGGGCTCTGCCCAGGCACGGCCACTGCTGCTTGCTGCAGATGGTGCTTTTGGGGCCAGGGTCTCATTTCAGCTCTCCTCATCCCCGTGGGGACATGGAAATAAGGTTTTCCCCTGGGAATCCTCCTCGGTTCTTGCAGGGAGCCTGAGCAAGGGCTAAACCCAGTGGGATGCTCCCAGGAGATCTCACTGACAGCCACAGGCAGAGCTCAGGGTGACAGTGAGGGGAGGGGTGAGATTTTTGGGCTTTTATTGAAATAAAAGGGATTCCTGCCACTAGTTTTAAGGGGATCGTGAGCCTGAAGTGCCTTTCCCCACACTGAGCTGCTGTGCAGCCATTTTATCCATACCACTGATAAAAAAGATGGCTAAAAAGGTGAAAACAAAAGATCTTCCCCCAAAATATCTGCCCCGCTGTCAGCGTTTGGCTCTTTTGAGGACCTGGCTGGGATTGGTGTTCTGCTTTGTCAGGGCAGGTACCAACCCAAGCCTGGGGTGCTGCAGCAGCCAGCAGAGCTGCCTCCGAGCTGGTGCTTTGGGGGGTGAGCAGCAGAGCTCTGCCAGCAGCAGCCAGACTGTGCCCACCTCCCCTCACCTACCCGGGGATGATGTATGGTGAGTTGTAGATACCAGATCCCATGTTGTGAGTGATGATGAAATGCTTCACCCACGGCGCCAGGACCTGGGAGGCAAAGGGGAGAGGGTCAGGGAGAGTGGAGAGTGGGGTTCTCAGCTCGGGGAGGTGGTGGGAGGGACACAGGCAGGTGGCTGAAGGTGACACGGGGGTCTGAATGTGGTGCCCTCCCTCCTGCTCAGGCTCTGTGTGCACCACAGTGTCCCCACGCTGCTGCCAGGGAGAGACAGGGGAGGAGCTTCCTACCTGGTGTGAGTCTGTTTCCTCAAATAATCCTCTTCTTCTCCCAGAGATTTGAGGTCTTTTTATTATTAGCATTATGCCTCTGGCCTCCCCCCACCTTCACTAGACCAAGACACAGGAGATTTGGGGCATCCCAGCGGCTGAACCAGGAACAGGATCCAGGTTTTCTGCTCTGCCCACCACACAGATGAGGATTTTAAGTGACCCTCCTTTGCTGGGAATTGGGAGCTGACCCCAGTGGTACCCAGCCCACACACCCAAGATTTGCTCCAGAGGGCTCACCTCATAAGGCAGCTAAGGGATGTCTCCTCTGGAAAAGAGAGGAGGGGGACCTGAGCCCTGTGCCCACCTCACCTTTATGACCTGTCCACGGCCAGGCTGGAGCTCGGGGTCAGGCTGCAGCTCCCCAGCACGCACCCCCGTGCAGTTCACAACCACATCCACACCCTGGGCAAAGAGCTGAGAGAGAGGTGACCCTGTGAGCTGCAGGGGCAGCACCAGGCTCCTGTCTCAGAGCTGAGAGAGTCCTCGGTCCAGCGCCCTGGGAATGAGCCTCTGAACCCAGGGCTCAGCTCCTGACGTGTGTGCAGGAGAGGAGAACGTCTGCAGCACAAGGGGAAGCTGCTGCTCGGCTGCATCTTCACTCAGTGCCAGCCAAAGGCAGCCCCCCCCCAGCCCCTCTCAACCATCTCTTCCTACCACAGAGCCTCTATCTTTCCTGCTGGAATTGGTTTCCTGCTGTACCCTTGCCCATCCTGATGCCAAGGGACCTCCTGGAGCACCACGTGCCTGCTGGATGCTGCTTCTCCCTGCCTGCTGCCCTGCTCTGACCCAGCTTGATGTTGCCACTCACCTCTTGGAAAGATTCCACCTTCTTGTGGAAGAACTTCACTCCTCTCTGCGTTAATCTGGGAAGAAGGGGCTCATTTGTTGCCAGCAAATTAAAAGCAAATTTCAGGGTTCAAATTAGTGCCTGTAACTGAGACCCAGAGCAGGTGATGGGCTTCTTGCTCCTCCTAAGAAGCAGCTGTGGGCTTCTTGGTGGTTCCTCATGTTCTCCAGCTCATTTCCCTAATAGCCCAGAGTGACCCAGGGTGGGCAGTCCTCCTGGGTGTTCTGCCACGGCCAGGGCAGCTGAGCTGCTCCACGTTGGGAATGCCAAGAGCAAAACCAAGCCCCAAATCCTCCCACTGCTAAAAGCCACCTTGGGGTGCAGCCCAAGGGATCCCAGTACTTTAATTTTTGTTACCCCAAACCAGGCTAACGGTTAAAGTGGGGACTCTGTTACCCCCTGGGGCAGTGAGCTGGAATTCTAGGGGCTTTTCCCCCCTTCCCATGGACCTATCCCTGTCTTCCCTCTCCTCTGGCTCATCCCTCATCCCTGTCCTGCTGCAGGGTGCTGTCACGTGGAGGCCACCAGCACCTTCAAGCCCAGGGGTTGAGAAGTGCAGCAGGACATGGGACAGCTGCCTAAAATCCATCAGAGCTGCCTGAAATCCATCAGGGCTGCCTAAAATCCATCAGGGCTGCCTAAATTCCATCAGAGGTGCCTGAAATCCATCAGGGCTGCCTAAAATCCATCAGGGCTGCCTAAATTCCATCAGAGCTACCTGAAATCCATCAGGGCTGCCTAAAGTCCATCAGTGGTGCCTAAAATCCATCAGAGCTGCCTGAAATCCATCAGAGCTGCCTAAAATCCATCAGGGCTGCCTAAAATCCATCAGTGCTGCCTAAAAGCCACCGACTTGGCCTGAGAGAAGGATCCAGGCTGGGAAGCCCCCCGGTGCTGCTGGGCATAGGGAGCAGGGGCAGCAGTGCCCCCAGCCCCAGGGCACTCACCTCTCAGTGAGCCAGGGCAGGTACCTCTGGCACTCCAGCATCAACGCCGTGTGGAACCAGCCCCAGCTGGAACCAGAGGAGGAGAGGAAGGAGTCAGGACCTGCAGCAGCCTCACATCAGCAGCCACCTCCTGCCCCAGCCCTCCCCACGGCAGCTCCCAAACCCCAGCTGCCCCTTGCACAAGGGCTTGGTGTTTTTTCCCCTCTATTCACTCCATAAAATACCCAGTGATTTCTTTCCTCGAGTCAGGCAATGCTTGGTGAAGGAAGAGAGGGTCCAGAATGGTTTAGAAACATGGAATTGCTTTGGCTGGAAGGGATCTTGAAGATCATGGAGTCCAACCCCTAACCCAGCACTGCCAGGTCCCCACTGCCCCGTGTCCCTCACACCACATCTCCACGGCTTGGAAACCCCTCCAGGGGTGGGGACTCCACCACTGCCCTGGGCAGCCTGGCACAGCCCTGGGCAACCTTTTTGTGAAAGAAATTATTCCTGATGTTCAACTGAAACCTCCACTGGGGCAACTTGAGGCCATTTCCTCTTGTCCTGTCCCTTGGGAGCAGAGCCCGACCCCCCCCTGGCTCCAGGCTCCTGTCAGGAGCTGTGCAGAGCCAGAAGGTCTCCCCTGAGCCTCCTTTGCTCCAGGCTCAGCACCCCCAGCTCCCTCAGCTGCTCCTCCCCACACTTGGCCTCTAGACCCCTCTGCTATGCTGGGTTGCTGCTTTTCTTGTTTGTTTGAGGCGTCTCCTACTTATTTTAGGGGAAGTGGCTATAACACAGCAAGGTCACTTCTGCACCCCCAGTTTCTCATCCTCACCACACTTTGCCAGGGAGCTGCCTGGGACCATCTGGCCATACCCCCTCTGGAGCACACTGGAGAGCACACCAGCTCTCCACAACACCGACTGGGAAATACCTGTAGCCAGGGAAGAGTTCCAGCTCTTTTGGTGTCAAGTTCCTGAACCCCAGGACGATGTTCTTCCAAGACGGGTCCTGCAGAAGGGAGGAAGGTCCAAGCTCATTAATGAACCCAAACCACCCATCGTGGGACAGTGGGGGAAGACAGAACCCCCCCCTGAAGGACCAGGGGGGTGTGGGCAGCTGTGGCACAGCACGGGCAGCGAGGCTCTGCCAGCTCCTCCCCTCAGAGGGCTCAACCCTGAGTTCATACCAACGCTGCATCTTGGGCACAGAAAACACCCTGTCCCTGGCCAACGGTCACAAGACAGACTTGGAAGGATTGGGAAACATTCAGAACATGGTCTGGGAAGTACAGCCCTGCCCACCCCCGGGCAGCCTCTGAGCTGGAGCCCTGCCCAGCCTGCCTGTGACTTGCTCCTTACCGGCACCGGCTGCGTGAACAGGTTGTAGCCAGAAGTCAGGAAGAGCCCCATTTCCCTGGCTGCTGGTGAGCCCAAGTGTCCCAGGAGGTGATCAAATGTCTCTTTATTCCAGAGTCTGGGAGGAAAGAGTATAGCCAGCAGGACTAGGGCAAGGATTTGTCCCCCTAGACTCAGTGCTGGGGATGCCACGTCTCAAATCTCGGGGTCGGTTTTGAGCCACTCGCACCCAAGAAGGAGCTTGAGGGGCTGGAGTGTGGCCAGAGAAGGGCAACGGAGCTGCTGGGGAAGGGTCTAGAGGCCAAGTGTGGGGAGGAGCAGCTGAGGGAGCTGGGGGTGCTGAGCCTGGAGCAAAGGAGGCTCAGGGGAGACCTTCTGGCTCTGCACAGCTCCTGACAGGAGCCTGGAGCCAGGGGGGGGTCGGGCTCTGCTCCCAAGGAACAAGTGATAGGAGG